CAGATAAAAACGTCTCGACGTGCATGGAGGATCCTTTCGATAAAATTTCCAAGAATTCCGAAACAATTTCTCGTCGCCTCGTTCTACTCTAAAACCCAAAGAAAAATCATCTATTTGCCAAACGCTACCAATCAAGACCGCGCCGTACAATGTTTCAATTACCACAAATACTCTCGCGTGGCCGGCGAGTTCAGCTTCGAGCGATCGCCGCTGGAAATTTTCGAAACATCGCCGCAGCAATTTTCACGAGTAATTCTTTCGATAATCCGGGTCCGCTCGCATGTTCATCGAACAACGGTTTCAACCCCCTGGAAACCGAAATTTACGGCTCGCGTTCGCTCCATTTTCGCAGCCGATAATCGGGCGAGGCCTCCGAACGATACGTTCGTGCGTAATCAGATTATAATAAAACGCAAACAGATCACGCGACCGAAGGAACGCGCGAGCGCGGCCATGGCAACGGGAACCGGGGACGAAAACGCGCGGATAAAAAAATGTCGAAAGCCATGGGAACCGAACGGCGTTTCGGGAAAAATCGAACGGCGAGGAGAGAAGCAACTGGGCGTGAAAATAAAAATCCTGGAAATCCCGAGGAGCGCATCGCGTGTTCCCGGAGAGAACGTTAGGAGAGCTCGCGCGATTTATCGCGGCCCCGTCCGTTTGATAACACGCGAAATGTGCCGGTCTCGTCTCGCGTTCAGGTAATAACTCCATTTCCACTCCTCCCGTGAAACGCGCGGTGTATTAAAAACAGATTAAGCGTGTTAATCCCTCGCGCCGCGGCTTCTTTCGCGGTTGCGTTCCGCGGAATCGTTTGATCGCTTTCGATTCGGTGGAGGAAAGATGTTTAACCCTTTGCGGACGAATGTCGTTTCGCTGAGATCATGCAGCCAGCGACAATCGTTGGCGTTACGTATTAACCCTTTGCACTCGAGGCGCCTCTAAGTCACCAGATGATTTGACACAGAGAAACTGTGAACTTTGATGTTTAATATTAAACTTTGCACGATGCATCAATGTACGAAATATTGAAGGAAAGTTCTCTTCCTCGGTGCACGTGAGATTTCTTAATTCAATCGAAGAAAATGTCTGTATCTCATTGGAAATTCCAAGTCACCAAATGATTTGACACAGAGAAACTGTGAACTTTGATGTTTAATATTAAACTTTGCACGATGCATCAGTGTACGAAATATTGAAGGAAAGTTCTCTTCCTCGGTGCATGTGAGATTTCTTAATTCAATCGAAGAAAATGTCTGTATCTCATTGGAAATTCCAAGTCACCAAATGATTTGACACAGCAAAACTGTGAACTTTGATGTTTAATATTAAGCTTTGTACGATGCATCAATATATGGAATATTCAAATAAAATAACTTTCCTTCTTAATTCATATATGTTTCCTTATTAATTAGTTTCAAAGAACATCGTATCTCTTCGGAGAATAGTGAGTATTCCTAGTGAAAAACTTTCGAGTGCAAAGGGTTAATACAAGGTTTGTAGAAGAATAATTAGAGATGAAGGGATGGAATTTATTTGATGAGATGGGACAAAAGATTGTGCATTAACTGTTTGAATATCTAACAACTACTGAAATTGAGTTTTCGAAATGTCTCTGAAACTGCAAGAGAGCTTCTATCGAAACTTTAATTGATTCATAATTCAGTTTGCGTATTAACTCAGTTTCTTTTGTAACTCCCGGTATCTGCTGTTTTTAATAATCCTGGAAAGAAATCAGGAATTGGTAATTTTGACTAATTCAGTGGTTCTAGTGTTGATTATCGTTACATTAGAAGCTGAAGGGTTAATCGTACGTAGTTGTAAATCAATAGTTTAACGTGTCAATAGGATCTTTCTCGAGAATCTCACTGGAATCGATGAAGAGGGGCGCGAATGAGGGAGACACGGTAAAACAAACAGAGAAACGGGTATCGTTGAATTTCAGAGACGACAGAAGGAAGAGGAAGGTCAACGTTGACCGAATAAAAGTCGATTAGATTAGGAAGATAGAAACGCGAATGATTTATCGTCGGAATGGGCGGACACCGGGGCCAGAGTAGAGGAGATAAAACGGGACGGGCCGGTTCCCTCGAATTTTGACGACCGGGCCCGATGTAATTTCACGCGAAATTTATCTAATCTCGCTGGCGCGATACTCCGTAGGTGCACGCCCACCGTGGCGAAAAAATACGTCCTCGAAAAAAGAGAGGAAAAGATAAAAAGATCGGAGCCTCCGCGGGTGCCCGGTCGACGGTGCTCTATATTTAAACGTTCGAGTGACGCGGGTCACTCCAGGAACACGGTCAAAAGTCGCGGTTTCTTTCGCGTCGCGATACCTCGCCGTGTCTTTGACACTGTAATCTTCGTTGCGCTTTTATGCGCCGGGAGATAAAGGGTTAATGAGATTTTAGAGAGGAGAGCTCGGAGAATTCGACGAGGTCGGCTCCGTTACGGCCTGAGTTCGTGGAAATTTTAAAGAGATGTTTTAGTATATTGTCGAGTTGCTCGTTGAGTGGATTTCCAGATGCACAGTTGACGGAATCATTTATTTGTCGGATATCCTGTTTCTTGAATACCTAATTTCTCAGGGGTCCATTTCTCGGGTACTTAATTCTTCAGGAATGCAATCTCTCGAGTATCTAATTTCTCAGATATTAAGTTTTTTAAAGAACTAATTTCTCTGGAATCCAATTTATCAAGTACCTAACTTCTCAGGTACCCAATTTCTCAAGCATCTAATTTCTTAAGCACCTAATTTCTCAAATATCCAGTTCCTTAAATACCTAATTTCTCAGGAATCCAATTTCCCAAGTACCAAATTTCTCAAACATCTCAAACATCTCAGACATCTAATTTCTCAAGCACCTAATTTCTCAGGAATCCAATTTCTCGAGTACCTAATTCCTCAAGTATTCAATTTCTCAAGTGCCTAATTTCTCAAATATCCGGTTCCTTAAATACCTAATTTCTCAGGAATCCAATTTCCCAAGTACCTAACTTCTCAGGTACCCGATTTCTCAAGCTCCCAATTTCTTAAGCACCTAATTTCTCATTAATCCAATTTCTCGAGCACCTAATTCCTCAAGTGTTCACTCTCCCAAGTACCTAATTTCTCAGATATCCAGTTTTCTAAATATCCAATTACTCAGGCTTCCAATTTCTCAAGCACGTAACTTCTCAGACGTCTAGTTTCTCAAACGCCTAATCTCTCAGCCACCTAATTTCCTATCCACTTCCCGAAATACCAAGTCCCTTATTACTTAATTTCTTCAATAACTAACTCGAATCTCTAACTCCTCATACCAAAAACAAATATTATAAAACATCACAATCGACTAAATGAAGCACTATCAAGAGTATGAAAATATCGATGATTTTATCGTTGTTCAGGACACAAGAACAACGACGGGCTAAGCGAACGTTTTCTGTTCGTTCTCCACGGTTCACGAGCCAACGGCACCGCTCGAATCCTGATTCGAAAGAAGCCGCGGACAGATGTTTAATAAAACATACTGCGTTTCTCCTCGGACGACGGCGCACCAAAATATCGTTTGCCCATTGTGTTTTTTAGTGACGAAGGTCGCGACGCATTAACGTCATAACGCCCGCAATATTCCGGCCGCCGCGCGCTCGCCCGGACAGACGGAACGAATTGGGCGAACGTTAACGCGCTTCGTCACGGGAACGTGAAAGTGCTTCCCTTGAGTCGCTACGGGAAAAAATCCGTAAAGATCTCCGAAAGTCGATGCGATTTATCTTGCGAAAAAGTCACGGAACTACTCGGAATCAACCCGTTGCCTTGTCAGTTCTTTTTTCGCCGCCACGCTCGCTGAGATAATTGTGTCGTCGATAATTTATTCATTATATAATAGTAAATGTAATACATATTCATTTCAAATAATTGCATCCGCGTCTAATTTACAGCGGTATCATTAACACATTGCGTACCGGAAACGGGAGATCTCGTTTTTATTTAAATCTATCGTTGTTTTGCGAACTGCTGCACTATTTAAGGAAATATTAAAATATTTTAATATTAGATATTAAGTTTTAGTAGAACTGGTTACTTGTTTAACCCTTTTCTAATACTAAGTTGCACAGAAACAATTTAATTACTGAAACAGCGAAAGATCTGTACGTTGTTTCTTTTTTTCTCTGTTGTTTAAGCATTCGATGTGTGATTTGACAGGATCTGCCTTGTTTCATATACTATAAATAATCTTCGTGTGCGAAGAGTTAATGCTGATGAAATAATAAGATATTTGAATATTTTTCATATAGCGATACATCACGAGTTACAAGTTGATCTCATTGAGAAATCAGTTTTCTAAAAATTAATTGGTACGCGATGTGTTAAGAGAACAGTGTTCATTTTGAATTCTAATGAAATAAATCGTAACTCGTGAATGATATGTACAATCTTTAGAAAATTCCTTCGAACAATTTTATCCACATTTACAGCCGAATTATTGAGGAAAAGATGATCTTCACTTTGAATGCAAATGAAATAAATCATAACACGTGAATATGTACAATCTTCAGAAAATTCAACTTCAACTGTCTCAAGAATCCTCTCGCAAAATTCCCATATCTTCGAGATACAATTTTCCATCGTAATTTCATTCTCCTAATTAGACCGTCGAATAATTGAATTTGTACGAAGAGCTAGTAATAATATTCTAGACTGGACGTCCGAGCGTGGACCGTGAATCGCAGTCGCGAGGAGAACAGCAGACGTTTGCGCCGCCTTGAAAATCTGAAAAAAGAAACGCCGAAGGTCAGGTGCACGGTGCCTTTCGAGAACTTTCGATATTCCAGCGAGCGGAGGAACGGTTCTCGAAAATTCTCGTCGGAAACGCACGAAAAAAATGTCGCGATTCCGCCTCTCGACGCCTCGCGATCCTCTGTTTTTCATTCTCGAGTTTCCAGCGATGCTATTAATAAATGAGACAAAGGTTGGACAACCGGTGGACTGAACTTCTGTTCGCTTTCTGTTGCAGGAGAAGAGTTCTTTCCTGAATTACAACGTGTCCTGCATACTGACGCTTCCGCCTTATCAGCGGCAGGGATACGGACGGTTGTTAATCGATTTCAGTGAGTAACAGAGTCTCTTTTACACCAATTATTCCATTATTTGCCGCCCTATTCATTTCTTAATTTGAAATTTGAGAAAAATGGGGGTTAATGAAGATTCCAAGAGACTGAAGGAACTCGATAAGTCAAAATAAATTAACACGAGATAGAGTAAAATATTTTTCATTCTAAATGTATCAAAAACGTAAGAAACTGTAGGATAATATATTATTCTTATTCTTCAAACATTTTACGAAGTTGCATTGTCGGGAGATCAAGAGTACTACGAAATCTGCAGTTCATATCTGAATGATCCTGAAGATTTTTAACCCTTTGAACTCTGTAGGCTCCAATATTGCACCAATTATAATATTAAATATTTTAATGAATCTTGAAGGAACTACCCTAAAATTATTCGACTTTCAACACCTCCGAATTTTGTACAGATAATCAATTCGAATCAAATTTTATATTTTTTCCAATGCTGTAATTAGCGAAGTCGCGTAGCTAAGTGTCTTTATATAAAAACGAGATTTCTCGTTGCCAGTACGCCATGTGTTAATAATTCTGCTGTGAAGTAGACGTAGATACAATTATTTGAAATTAATGTGTATTATATTTACTATTATATAAAGAATATTATATAATATTATAACTATTATACAAAGAATATTATATATTATTATAACTATTATACAAAAAAAAACTTCCGAGTGCAAATGGTTAAAAGAACAAATTCGAAATGCAGATAGATTGCGAACTGTTATCGAATGTTAATCAGTAGCGTGGCGAAAGATGTCGCGAACGAGCGAAATTCGGCGCGTTCCGAGGCGCGTTCTCGTCGGGTCCAACCATCTGCGGCCTTGCCGGTTGTCCCTGGGCGCAGGATGACGACATCCCAACCGACGAAATCGAAAGGACAACCGAATTAGGAACCGGAGTTTCTGGGAACCGCCTCCGCGGTTTCCGTCCGCGCGCCGCGTGGCAAACACGCGTGGAATTTCATTGAAAATCAATTCGCCATTGTCGCCGGCCGAAACGCGCAAGTTTCCATTGGATTCCGAGGCAAAGAACAGAAAGCAGAATCGGACGAGTCGAAATTTTAACACGTTGAATGCCATGGGGGTCACCGGTGACCCCCAACCGAATCGAATTACTATAGTTCACTCAATTAATCCTTTGCACTCGAAAGTTTTTCACTTGAAATATTCTATACTTTCGAATTTGATATAGGCAAGATTCTTTACAATGAATTTAACAAGAAATCGTACATAAATTAGGTAACAAAATTATTTTGTAATACCTCACATACTGATGCAGTATGCAAAGGTTAATGGTAAATCCCAAAATTTATAATTTTGCTGGATTAAATGATCTGGCGACTGGGAGTCGCCTCCCGAGTGCAAAGGGTTAAAACAGGTTGCAATAAAATAGAATCTTTTCCGTTTTGTATTTTGCTCTCTGTTAATGAACGACCATTGGTTAACATCGATATCGAGGAACCGTTGATCTGATCCATGTCAATCGGGGAAAACCGGTGAAATCATTTGCTCGCTCGATTGTAACGAAACGCCGCGGCGCGATTTCCACGTGGACTTCCGACCGCGATCAACGGTGACTCACGTATTTGTTTCGCGGGACGCCGTCGCGTTTGCTTGTCTCGTAAAATGTCGGAGTTAGCGTGAAAATTATGGACAATATGTTGACGAAGTGGGTACGTCGGAATAAAAGGTAACGAGGATAAGAGAACGCGTGTTCCTTAACGATTTTTGCGAAGTGCTCGAACATAGTTTGAGCTGAATTTACGAGACACTGTAAAATGAAATGGAGATTCGGTTCAAACGTGGATATAGAGAATTTATAATTCTTGTGATTCAATTGTTGAATCGAAGAGTGGTTCGAAGATTCTCGAGTATTCGGAAGTTGATGGACTGTTTCGAATGTTAACACTAGAACTATCGAGCGTTTAATACGATTAACTCTTAGCACTCCAGATGGTTTTGTAGTCTATCAGCAACTGCAACTAATTTTTATGGTATCTATAGCGGAAACGAAGAATGCAACATTCCTTCGATCTTTCAATAAAAATCTAATAATTAACAATAGAAAATCTAATAATCTTAGGGTAGTTTCCTTGCTTCTTGATTAAAATATTCGATGTAAGATTACATATTAAGGTGATTTCTTTGATTAAAATATTTAATATTATAACTGGAGAAATATTGGAGCCTAGAGTTCAAAGGGTTAATATATTCCTATAAAAATTGTAATAGATTATTTTCAGTTTCTTCAGACATTCATTATAGTACTGAAATGAAACTATTTTCAAAATTTCGAATATTCAATGCTTCCAAGATATCAATAATTGCTAAAAAAGATCTAAACCAGTTTTGACTGATACGTAGTTCTAGTGTTAATGCGTCGGTTGACATAATTCATTAGCGAATCTGATCGAAATTTCGAACAATAACGCCGCTGTAACGCGTAGATCGATGAATTTCAATGTATCGTTCGATTCAATTCGAGACTCGCGTTCGTTCGCCGATCGCCGGCTCAAGGCACAATTTCCCATCGGCTGCGGCGTCAAAATCGCTTGCGAATCTCGCGAGAGCAACGCGTCGACCGCCACGTCACCCATTTATGGCCGCGACAGCTTTCCGGCTCCGCGAATGCGTCAGCCTCGCTCGGTCGACGCTCGTCCTTGATTACGAGGCACGTTATCCGCGACGCACGCCCGGAAAAGATAACCGGTCGCGTCTTCGACACCGAAACCGTAGGAACTTAACAATCAAATTCCAGAGGAAACGTGGAAACCCGCAAACGCTCGTTTATCAACGAGAAACAAAGGGAATGAATGAAAATCGGTCGGAAGGAACTCGTAAGAACCCGGTTGCCGATGGAAATATTAAGAAAAAACGAATGATTCTGTCGCGTCTTTGACACCGAAACCGTAGGAATTTAATAATCAAATTCTAGAGTAAACGTGAAAACCTGCAAACACTCGTTTATCAACGAGAAACAAAGGGAATGAATGAAAATCGGTCGGAAGGAACTCGTAAGAACCCGGTTGCCGATGGAAATATTAAGAAAAAACGAATGAGATTCTGTCGCGTCGCCGGAGATCGATCGCCGGAAGTGTCCTCCGGCTTGCCAGTCCTCGGAATTCAGGATCCACCGATCGGGACGCTCTCATTGTCCCCTATTTCATGCGTCTGGGAGCGCGTCACGGTAGAAACGCGAGGAAAAAGGGTGGCACGAGGGGGGAGTGACGATCGTCTCGACGTGGAGCTCCCTTCTTCTCTCGGAACAGCCATTTCTCTCTTTCCTCCTCGCTCGTATCCTTAATTTTCTCTTGTGTCACTCGCTGATTCCGATTCTTTCATTTTCTACCTCTTCCTCTTTCACGGGGAACCCATTTCTGGAACGCTTCCTCTCTCTTTCTCCTTCGTATCCCCTCTTCTCGCTCTCGTCTTTATCTTCTTTCTCTGATTTTCTCTCTCTATCTTTTTTCTCTCATTTCGTCATTTTCCTACCTCTTTCTTTTATTTCCATCTCTCGTCCATATTCTCTGCCCTCCGAGGAAAACCATCGC